CACGCCGGTGCACCAACTTATACTCAAAGCGCGCTATAGATCACAGCTTAGGAACCTAGTTCCTCCACACTGCCAAGTCTTCTCACTTGACACGTCTGTGATCATGCATGGACTCCTCCATGCTTGGCCCCATGGCCCACCCTTTTTGAAGTTATCACCTTCAACTAGGGTATTTGTTCCCCTGACTTGCCAATCTCGCTTGGCAAGTCCTCTGACCACTGTAACATGGTTCATGCATAAATGTGAAAGTCCTTGACCATCGACTTTCATTCAAAGCCCTCTTTTTGAACACTCGGGAGCTACTTCCCTAACCTTGATAGCCTTGCCTTATGGCAAGCTTCAAGACCACACTTCTGCTATGCCACTCTGGTTTCACGCGTTCCATGAATCATTTACACTTGGCCTTTCTAAGTACTAAGCTACTTAGAATCGTTTTTGGGAACCTTGAAGGAACTCCGTCTCTTAGCTTGTTAAGGCCTCTCTTTACGCAAGCTTTCTAGTTGCCATATGGTCTAACATGGACAATTCTATATTGTAGACTCTCCATGATATCACAATTGCTAGTAACAACACCCTTGAGCCCCCACTTGATTCTCCACTCCCAACTGGCATAACCACCCTTGGTTATGCCTTTTGATTCCTATAGTTTGGTTTTATCCCCTTACTACTTGCTTTTGGCTTTACACCTTTCCTTCGGTCATTCTCCTCCAGACTAGGAGGATAGCTTTGCACTTTCTATTATGCCTTAACAAGTATTCTTAGGGATGAACCTACCCAATATTCTAAGGAGTGGTTCCTCAATCCAGGTATGCTCACCTTATAATCCCACACACCGGGATTAACGTTGTTGCTTATGGGCCTTTACATGCCCATCACTAGCCTTGCCAAAATTCCATTTTTGGCTTTGTCCAATTCGAGTAGATAGTCTTCACTTGTCTCCGCAACCTTGGACATTTGAATAGCACCTTCTATCCATCATTCGCTAGGGACTTAGTCCCTTAGGCTTTATCTATTGCTCTCGCGACATCAAACACCACCCCCTGGTGTTCTAGAGTGTTTAGGTGTCCCAAATGATGGCCTCTTTGACAATGAGCATTCCCTTTTATGACATTGACTCACTATATTGTAACATAAGCAATTTATCCCCCATAAAGGTATATCTAATTTCCTTATGCCATTAAGGAGTCTTGGGTAGCTACCCTCTACCAGTTTAACTAATTATCTTGCACCTTTTGCTTAATTGCCTCATAGTTGTCAAGTCCTACAACTCATTGCTGGTGCTTCCACACCTCTATTATTATTTTGGTCACCACACTCTATTACATGCCTTCCAACTTAAGCTATGCCATTCCCATTTCCGTTGGGATTCCCTTAGCAAGGGGTTCTTATGAACCCACCAACATAACCTCAAGGTATCACGCCTTGGCACATTTGGTGTCTCCACACCATCGGCCCCACGAGCTTATCCTTATGACACTACTTACTAGTGTCTAGGTTTTTGCCAAGACCAATATAATTGTTCCTCATGCTAACTATTCGTTAGCACCACACCATAGAGTTTGCATCCAAATCTGGTCCAAAGTTGCTTTCTTCTGGGAATATCTTTCCCACAACTTTAGTATGGCACATTCTGCCATCAATGAGATACCTACTGTTCTCATACTTGGATCTTATGATCCTCCCCATACCTTATGGGGCACCATACACCTCAGTCCAAATGCTTCAACCAATCCCTTAGGACCATTCCCTGACCCCACTTGAGTCATCCAGCATTTTTGAACTTTGCTAAACTAACGACCCGTAAGGTCCTCTTTTTGAGGTGCCAACTCACTCGAATACAACTTCATGTATTCATGTCCTACTCATAAAGACCATCTTGCAAATGTTACTCCAACACATCATTATTTTCCGTTCTCTGTGGGATACCTTTGCCCCTTAGGGCTATCCATCCCTATGATGAGAATACCAACTCATCTTTTGAGCACACCCCAAACTCCTTGGGTTCTTTTCAGCATTTATAAAAGGTAGCCTTAGCTATCATTTCGAGAGCTCATGCCCTCATCCGTACTTGACCTCTCATGGTCATCAATTCTGGTCTCAAATTCATGAGCACCAGCCTCAACTATGTGAGGAGTATCTTGTGACTCCTTTATTGTTTTGGAGTCTACATCTTTCTCATGATCCCAACTATAGTTTTTTACCACAACTACCTTAGCTAGTTTGTTGAGTCAAACGCTCATCCGGATCACATCCTCAACTCTTTGAGGGAAACTTTATACCGTTCCCAAGATCCCGAAGTCGTTATCTTACTGGCCCTTTTCCATCCACCACATCGCGCACAAGTTCACACATGAACTTGAGTAGAGAGCTATGTCCTCTCGCCATACTACTCCTCCAGGATAGGTCCATATCTAAGACCTTCCAATTCCAATACAAGTGGTGATATACTTGGCCACCAATAAGAGTCAGACTAAGGAATAGCTCCGATACCAAGTTGTAAGTGACTAATTTTTCCATTCTACTTTAGTCCTTTAACCATGCCTCCGACCACTTGGAGGAGTCTCTCTCACAACCTCCATAAGTCCTATTTTGGACTTGGGCTTGCTAGCCTCGAGAATGGCATTCCCGCCACTCAACCTTTGCACCTGGTCCAAGTGCTCCACGTGTTTGATCCCATGACCGACACCCCAAGGTACTATTGACATATCAGCCTGATACACTAAGGCCATGCTCCTTCACCTTGGTCACACTGGTGGTCTAACACCACCTGCATCACAGTCCCACCTCTCAAGGATAGGGCCATCCGTCCATGAGTGATCATTCCAGATCCACTCCTTAGCATCCTTAGAATGCTTATAGACATGGGGATTCGCCTTCCCCAATATCCCTTTTCCGGTCCCCACCAAGTCCCTTTCTGCCCATGGCTGTGTTCGCCAACATTGCCACTGGATTGAGGCCCACAAGCCCGACCACTAAGTCCCACAGTCCTCTGGGACTTCCTCACCACCCGACTGTATCCTTGGTCACTACACTAGAGGACTACTCCTCTTCCTTTCCACAGTCTGGGCCCTTGGGATAACATTTCGGAACACCGTGGCCCTATGCGGGCCTCATGGGTACTCTCCCCACCTTCCGCCTTTGGGTGCTCTAGCTATGGGTTTAGAGCGAGGTTCCGTTGAGCCACGCTAGGTATCCAAGTAGGTAGTGCCACCCACACTTAGACTGGGAGCATCGGACAATCGATCTCCCGGGGGAACTAGAGCCAGCTCTTGAACACTTTTATACATATACATACTACTTTAGTCACTTAACCATGCCTTCGACCAAGGTACCATTGACATATCAGCCAACATTGCCACTGGATCAAGACCCACAAGCCCGACCAAGTCCGTTGTTTTAACAAAGGTTTTCTCCTCTAGTGTTGACTGTATCCTTGGTCACTACACCAAAGGAGTACATATGTAAGTCTTCTCTGGATTCGTGTTCACCAACATTGCCAGAAGCCTGACCACTAAGTCCCACGGTTGGGTCCCCACCAAGTCCCTTTCTACCCATGGCCGACTAAGTCCTACAGTCCTCTGGGACTTCCTCACCACCCGATTGTATCCTTGGTCACTACAGAATATTGGATGGCTCAATGGAACCTCACTCTAAGCCCATAGCTAGAGCACCCAAAGGCAGAAGGCGGGGAGAGTACCCATGAGGCCCGCGTAGGGCCACGGTGTTCCGAAATGTTGTCTCAAGGGCCCAGACTGTGGAAAGGAAGAGGAGTAGTCCTCTAGTGTAAGGATAATCCAGAGGACTACATATGTAAGTCTTCTCTAGATTTGTGTTCACCAACATTGCCACTGAATCGAGGCCCACAAACCCGACCACTAAGTCCCACAGTCGTTTCCCCACCAAGTCCCTTTCTGCCCATGGCCGACTAAGTCCCACGGTCCTCTAGGACTTCCTCACCACTGAGGAGCCCGTGGTGGCTCAACGGAACCTCGCTCTAAGCCCATAGCTAGAACACCCAAAGGCGGAAGGCGGGGAGAGTACCATGGAGCGTAGGGCCACGGTGTTCCGAAATGTTGTCCCAAGGGCCCAGACTGTGGAAAAGAAGAGGAGTAGTCCTTTAGTGTAAGTCCCATGGTCCATATATATATACATATACATATATATATATACATACATACATATATACATATATATACATACATATATATATATATATACATATATATATACATATATATATATATACACATATATATATACATATATGTATATGTATATATATAACTGGAATACAATATAATCTTTGTGATTCCCTTAGCTAATCAATAGAACTCAAAATTCTTACTAAATATCAATCTCAATATGTTATGTGATTTTCTTCATTCTTTAAAAGCAAACTTTGGGCTATAAACAATGTTGTGGTGTCTTATATATAATACAAAACTGGAACAGGTTTTAATATGAATGACATATGGTTTTCTCAAGAATTTAAAATGTAATACAGAACTAGAATATAATATCATTTTAATGAAGATAAAATTTAATTCTCACAATTATAAACTGAAACACAATAAAGTTTTTAGTATAGATGACATATATTTCTCTTAAGCATTATAAATGATGAAACAAAACACAATATCTGTTGTGTCTTATAGTAGCACATTTTTAAAATAAAACACAGAAACTAGATGAAACAAAACACAATATCTGTTGTGTCTTATAGTAGCACATTTTAAAAATAAAACACAGAAACTAAATCTTGAAATTCAACAGAAAAATAAAATTTAAACACAAAAAAGAAATGTATTGAATATTTATTTTTAATGTATCTATTTATATCATATAAGTCTAAACAACGGTTTTGTTAGGGTATTTGTTGGTAATGTCTGCGACACTAACACTGTTCATATATCTGCTCCAAAGGTTATGTAACTTACTCCCTCCATCAAAGTTTTTAAGAGAAGTATACATCCAGATTGTCTTAAGGCATGGCTAAGGTAGGAAGGAATGCCATGGTAACATTGCTTATTCCCTTCGTCAAAGTTTTCTCAGGTGAGAAATGCCAATGCCGATCCTGGTAGAGCACGACGTGTTGGTCCTTCGTCAAGTAAATCCTCCATGACAATGACCTGTTGCAACACGAATACATGATCCCTAGAAGTATGGAGTTGGACATCAAACGATCAGGATCATGATAAGCTCCCCAAGCCTTTGTCTTCGAATCATAATCCATGTCGAGCTTGGCAAATATATTCCCACGGCTTCTCCTTGGGAAGAATTCTCCACGCATTCGTCAGTGGATTTCCAACAGCTGAAGTCATACCAGTCTGGTCCAGATCCTCCAGCCTCCCACACACAAGCCCCAGCGAACACGCCACGAGGCGAAACCGGTGTCCCGGCGGACCGACGGAGAAAGACCCATGATCAAGCTCCCTGGCCTGATTGTTGAGGAGAGCGTCCAGTGAAGGATACCAGCAACAGAAATTAACTGTTGCATATTGGATATTGGATATGCAAGCGGTGGCCACACTGTAGCACAACCCATGGCTCCAGATCTCCAAACCATGGATCTCTGGGAGTTTTGCTCCCCGAGCTCCGGGGAGTGTGCAAGGCGATGCCATTGCTTGCAGACGCGCGCGGCTTTGAGGAAGAGATCTGGGCTTGAAGCAAGACAAGATTTCGAACACTAGATCATCGCCTAGCATCACAAGCCCTGGATGAAAAAGGAGGTTTTACAGGTTGCGAATCGCACGAACTTGAGTGCTATTATTTTCTTACACTGGAATAGATGTTTGAGAGGAGAACATATGTACTAGTACCTCTTGGCACCATTTCCACCACCTGCGTGGCTACTCTAGATCCAAGTTTTACCTCTCCATGCGTGTTGCAAGCACCCAATAGAGCTTGCCAGGCTATTGCATCGGCTTGCACTGGCATATGGTCAATCAAAGTTTTTGCTTGCTCAAGCCACCCAGCCTTTCCAAGGAGATCAACCATGCAGCCATAGTGATTCATTTGTGGGATCAATCCATAGTCATCACACATCCTCGTCAGGTACTCGAGCCCATCTTCCAAGAGCCCAGCATTGCCACAACCAAAAATCACTCCCAGCAAAGTTATGTGGTCGGGTTCTATCCCTTCCAAGCTCAACTCTAGCAAGAGCTCCACGGTTTCACTGCCATGCCCGTTATGGGCATACGCTGCGATCATGGCATTCCAAGAGACGAGATCTTTTCTCATCGACTGGAACGTTTCTCTTGCTAGAACCAAGTTGCCACACTTTCCATACATGTTTACAAGCGCGTTTCCAAGGTTTGTGTCGAGTTGAGACCCATAGACTCTCTCGATTCTTTGGTGGATATTTCTTCCTCGTGTAAGGCACGGAAGGCTAGCGCAAGCATCCACCGCTCCAATGAAAGTCACCGAGTCAGGCTTTATACCCTCCAGATCCATCTCTCTCAAAAGGTGGAGAGCTTCTCTCCCGAGTCCTCTCTCGGCATATCCACACAGCATGGCCGTCCATGCCACCACTCCTCGTCTCTCCACTAGATCGAATATCTTCCTGGCTTGCTCCAAGTTTCCACTGCGACAATACAAGCTCACAAGAGCATGACCTACGAAGAGATTGGATTCTAAACCATCGGAGACAATCCTCGCAAAGACGCGATCAAAGAGTGGAGTGTTTGGAGTTTCCAGCGAGCTTACAACGTTGAGATAAGTGATCTCGTCCGGCCTTAAGCCTTCGTTGTCCATCTTGCAAAGCAAGTGTAGAACATCACTGAATTTCTCATGCTTGACAAACATCGTCATCAGTGTGTTCCAGGCCACCACATTGTCGTGAAGAAGGATCTCAAACAAACTTCTAGCATCCTCCAAGCTCCCACACTTCGTATACATGTTCATCACACTGTTCCCCAGGATCACGTTGCTCGAGAGCCCAGCTTGGACGATCCGAGCGTGCAATTCTCGGCCCTTTTCTAGCGCAACAACATCGGCACAAGCATCCAAGATCGTCACAAATGTAACCACGTTTGCCTTCACCCCTTCCTGGTCCATCTCTCGAAACAATCTCAAAGCGTCCCAGCCATGGCTGTTTTGAGCGTAGACCGATATCATCCCTGTCCAAGTGACAACGCTCCTGCGACCATCCATCGACTCAAAAACTTTAGCTGCGTCGTCCACGCTGTGGCATTTGCCATACATGTTGAGCAGCGAGTTCCCAAGCATAGTGTCCGAGAGAAGCTGCTCGTCCTCCACAGCTATGCGATGGTGGATCTCTTTTCCTCGTTGCAAAGCAGCCATTGTGGCGCATGCGTCCAGAACCGCAAGATAAGTCACCTTGTCCGGCTTCACATCCATCTCCTCAAACAATCCCAAAACTCGAGTGGAATACCCATTACGGGCATATGCTGAGAGGAAGGAGTTCCAGGAGACAACATCTCGTACCTCCATGCTCGAAAACACCATCTTTGCTTCGTCCATCCCGCCACACCTCCCATACATGTTGATCACGCTGTTTGCCACAGCCAAGTCTTGATCACAGCCACTCTCATTGATAAGCCTGTGGATTTGTCGTCCGATATCAACGCTCAAACCCGAGCAAGCATCGAGAGCACTGAGATACGTTACTTTGTGTGGCCTGGTTCCATCGAGCAGCATTCTCCGGAAGACTTCGATGGCTTGGGCGTGCTGCTTGTTCTTGGCCATGGCAGAAACCATGACATTCCAAGACACCACATTTCTTTCTCGCATGCTCTCGAACACCAAGGACGCATCTTGGCTGCTGCCACACTTGCCATACATCTCCACCAGCAAGTTCTGAATGAATCGACTGTCCCGGTGCTCGCTCTTGCGCAGCTTGGAGTGCGCTAGCCGGGCTTGCTCGAGAGATTTCTCGACGCAGCACTTGCGGAGGATGCTGGCATATGTTGCCGCGTCGGTGGCATCGGTCACGCATCGAATTTCTTCTGCTAGTGTAGAGCGCGAGTTTGCGATTGCAAGCTCGCTAGTGGGAGGCATAAGCCAGCTTGGCCGTCATGAATCATACCAAAACTACACACTATAAATAAATCAAGTTCATTTCATATAAGACACTCTAAATGAAAGCTTCTAGTTGGCATGCCTCCTACACTCCTGGCGTGCTCGCTGAGGATCTGGACGAGGCTGGCAGCGAGGCGACCACTCTAGCTGTTGGAAATCCACTCACGAACGTATGGAGAATTTGATATCAATGCTTAAAAGATCATGGCATTACCATGTAATTCTCAAGTTTGACGACCAGCATGCTATGGATTATGATTCCAAGAAAAATGCTTGGGGAGCTCGTCCTTGTCGTCGGATCTCAACTCCACTATAACTCCATGTAACACTTGGCATGGGGACAAGTTCGTGTTGCGGGTGGATAAAGGCTCATTGAGATGGAGGTGAGGTTCTTCTTGACGAAGCGCCAACACATTCTGCTCTACCAGGACGAGCACTTGTCAGATGAGAAAACTTTGATGAAGGAAGTAAGCAATGTTACCGTTGCATTCGTTCCTACCTTGGCCAGAAAAGAGAGAACATCGTCAAGTGATCCGGATGACTGCGATCATGAATATGAAGACGCAAAACATGGCAAAGATGAGAAGCCAAGTGTAGCATCCAGTGCTAAAGCCTCGCGAGTAGAGCTCGCCGGCTCTTCGAGTCACACGGTTCGCGGAGGCCAAGCTTCGCTCTACAGCCTCGCCAGTGGCATCCACAACCTGGACAGAGTAACAAATCATGTCAGAAATAAAAGAAAGAATCCTGAAAAAAAAGGAACAATTCTAGGAGATGATTTGGAACAAACTTTGTCTGTGTCTTGCAGGGATTGTTGCATGAGCAGTGTCGACTCTTTCATGTGTCGAGCTAACGCCACCATTTCATCTGTTAGATCGTCCTGGAGTCGCCTGAGCAAAAGAAGAAACTAAAGTACGATCCAGAAAAACAAAGAGAAAGTACCGATGCTTTCCAATGAATTCGTGAGTGGCACTGTCGAGTTTCACTTCTTCTTTTGAAGGACCAGGCTCGGGATCGTCACGCTGGATGCTGCTTGGCCGAAAGAATAACACAAGATGATCATGTAGTAGACTTGATAACTTACTGTCTCTTTCGAAGATTGCGCTCGGGAACTGGAGTTTCGGCAGGAGTCGCCGAGAATTCGTCCTCGACATCGGCGTTCGAGGTAGAAGTTTTGAGCGCATCCCACATATCTGCCTTTTTTTTTTTTTTATCCTCGTAATAGTCTACAAGAGAAAAACACAAAAGGAAAAAACGTTTCTAGCTTACCATTTGTGTGACGTTGATCTTCTCGGCAAACGCTTCAATCTGTTCGCCATACTCTCGGGCTTTGTCCATTGAAATGCTGCCATGGATGGAAGAAAACTTGTTAGCAATGAATGAATCGATATTTTTCCCATCCTTTTAGCTAAGATCTACCTGGGAAGATTTTGCTGGGCGTTCTCTCCCGTGAGAACAGTGAGGAGCTCTCTAGCCGTTGCCACATACTACAATCCCTCGTCAAATTTGATCGAATCAGGGCTCCAATCTAATCAATGCTTACATGGACGAGCTTGCGCTCATTCTCCTGCCTGGGCATCGACGCCAGCAGCCTCCGCAGCTTCACCTCCGCCTTGCTCAGCCCCATGATCGATCGATCACTCTATTTCTCAAATTTTAGGGTTCTTGAGCTACATTTTCATGGAAATTTATTTTCCATGACCTCCGTTGACTTCCATTGACTTTAGCTTGACCAACAGCATGGTCTCAACGATCTCTCTGGAAGAGTGCTTTCTGGGGTTGATCATAGTCCCTCCATACCAGAGGAAGGACGATGGCATGTTAATTCAGTGCATGGATCCAAAAATGGCGAGCTAGATTTAATAGAGCACAAGACACTGCCAAACACACAGTATAGTCATGATCGCATCGCATCTTGCAGCACCTTCGCTCGGCATTTTTCATACACGGTCACGAGCGCCTACACGTCCCTAGCGACTGATTCTCTTGTGGAGAGCTCTTCCTTGTTTAATGGCATCGCCACCATCGTTGGAGCAAGCTCCCAGCGCGAGCATGGGAGAGACTGTGCTCGGTTTGCTGAGATACGGTATTGTTTGTGGCCTGGTTCCATTGAGCAGCATTCTCCGGAAGACCTCGATGGCTTGGGCGTGCTGCTTGTCAGAAACCATGACATTCCAAGACAACACATTTCTTTCTCGCATCCAAGTACGCATCTTGCCCTTGCCATACATCTCCACCACCAAGCTCTGAATGAATCGGCCGTCCCGGTGCTCGCTCTTGCGCAGCTTGGAGTGCGCTCGAGAGATTTTCTCGACGCAGCAGGATGGTGGCATATGTTGCCGCATCGGTGGCATCGGTCACGCATCGAATTTCTTCTGATAGTGTCTTCGTGGAAGGCATAAGCCGAATCCCAAAATCACGTTCATTTGATATAAATATAGGGATAAGGAAACCTTTTTTCCCCGCGACTATAAAAGGTACCCACCGAAGAAGATAACGGAGCCAAGCATGGGAGCGTTTGATGCTCTGGGCGATGATCTAGTGCTCGACATCTTGTCTCGCCTCAGCCCAGCAGATATAATCCTCAAAGCCGGGCGCATATGCAAGCAATGGCATCTGCTTGCACGCTCACAGGAGCTTAGAGAAGCTGTGGCGCGCAGGGCAGCCGGAGATCCATGGTTTGGAGATCTGGAGCCATGGCTTGTGTTACAATGTGGCCGCCGCTTGCTCTTGTATCCTTCACTGGACGCTCTCCTCAACAATCAGGGCAGGGAGCTTGATCATCGCTCCTTCTCCGTCGGTCCGCCGGGACACCGGTTTTGCTTCGTGGCGTGTTCGCTGGGGCTTGTGTGTGGGAGGCTGGAGGATCTGGACCAGACTGGCAGCGAGGCCATGACTTTAGCTGTTGGAAATCCACTGACGAATGCGTGGACAATTCTTCCCCGTCTTGATGTCAAGGAGAAGCCGTGGGAATACGTCTTTAGAGTTACGAGGTCAGGGCATTACCATGTGGATGTCGCATTTGCCACGCTCGTCATGGATTATAATTCGCAGACAAATGATTGGGGATCTTATCATGATCCTGATCGTTTGATGTCAACTCCATACTTCGTGGGATCATGTATCGAGGGCATATTCGTGTTGCGGGTGGACAAAAGGTCTTTGTCATGGAGGATCTACTTGACGAAGGACCAACACGTCGTATTCTACCAGGATCGGCATCATTTCTCACATGAGAAAACTTTGACGACGGGAGTAAGCAATGTTACCATGGCATTCCTTCCTACCTTAGCCATGCCTTAAAACAATCTGGACGTATACTTTTAAAAACTTTGAGCAAGTGACATAATCTTTGGAGCATATATATGAACAGTGTTACTACCAGCTTAGAGACTCGTGCTTGTCAAGTGATCCGGATGACTGCGATCGTGAATATGAAAACACAAAGCATGGCGAAGATGAGAAGCCAAGAGTAGAACTCGCCGGTTCTTCGGTTCGCGGAGGCCAAGCTTCTGTAGAGCGTCGCCAGTGGCATCCACAACTTGGACAGAGCATGCAAGCAAGCAAACCGTGTCAGAAAAGAAAGAATCGTGAATTCCAGGAGAGGTTTTGGAACAAACTTTGGGGGTGTCTTTGCAGGGATTGTTGCATGAGTAATGTCGACTCTTAATTGTGTCAAGCTAGCGACCATTTCATCTGTTAGATCGTCCTGGAAGCAAAAGAAGAGATTAAAGTACGATCCGAAAACAAAGAGAAGTACCGAATTTTACACGATCCATTGATCTCCTTTATCTTGTATTTTCAGCATCCAGCATGACGATCCCGAGCCTGGTCCTTCAAAAGAACAAGTGAAACTCGACTGTGCCACTCACGAATTCGGTAACCAGAGAAAAACTTACTGTCTCTTTCGAGAATTCCTCCTCGCATCGGCGTTCAAGGTAGCGCATCCCTCTAGCGTACCCATACTCTTTGCCATGGATGAAAGAATATGATATTTTTGCCATCCTTGTTGTACGATCCACCTGGGAAAAGTTTGCTGGGCGTTCCAACCTAAGCATGTGGAGCCCCGATTCGATGAGGGATTGCTCTTGAGCTATTTTAATGGAAGTTTTTTGTTTGTCATTCACCATGTCCGTCATTGACCGCCATTGACTTTAGCTTGACCAACAGCTTGGTAAAGCGATCTCTTGGAGGAATGCTGTTGGCCTACACGTCGCTGGCGACCGATCCTCTCGTGGAGAGCTCTTCCCTGCTTGATGACATCGCCACCGTCGTTGGAGCAAGCTTCCAGCGCAAGCATGAGAGAGACTCTGCTCGAAGATCCATCTCGCGGAAGATTTGCAGCGCTTCCTTGCCGGATCCAATCTGAGCGTAGGCAGCGACGAGCGAGAGTTCCAGCACATCGCGTCCTCGTCGAAATCTTTCCTTGCATCGTTGAGGCTATGGCAGCAAATCGCGTGAAGACTTTCCTTGCATCGTCGAGGCTATGGCAGCGAGCATACATGTTGAGCAGCGCCGTGTGGAGCATCTCCAGCGATCTTCCTCGCCATTGCGAGAGAATGGATCGTTCCAGCGAGTTGCAAGCATCCACAACGCTAAAGAACGTCAAGCAATCCGGCTTGGGGCCACTGGGATCTTCCAGCATTCTCTTGAAGAGGTTGACAAGTTCTTCCTGTGTAATCCGAGATCGTATTCCAGTTCACATGTCTGCTCTTCATGGATCAAAGGTCTCCCTCGCAGTGTCCAGTGATCCGCTGAGTAGAGGCAATTGGCAATGGAGAGATTATCGCCTCCAGAGCGAATGTATAAGATCCTCGTGAGACGTGATCATCGGTGATCGAGATAGACGACACGATCCCTTCGAGGAGCATCATCAGGGATCCACGATGGTTGTGAGCGCACGCCAAGATCCTTCTCGCACTTGCCAGTTCTGGGCAAATGCTGCGATCGCAATGTTGACCTTCCATCTTGTGAAAGACTCCCAACGCCGCGCGGACGCACTTCCCTGCATTTCCCTGAGGATATTTCCGGAGAACCTGTGACGATCTAGGCCACCGTGAATGCGCTTGCCCCGTGAAACGGGTTTCGACCTAGAAAATTTCCCGCCAAGCGACTAGGATATTCTATTATATTCGATATTTTGAAACATCCCGCCATTGTTTGCCCTTTGCTTGGATGGAGACCTAAATTGCGCATTGCTCTTCAATGCGTGCTCATCCATGGCGCCGACGCCGGCGTGCGTCGCTAGAATCTCCTCGGCGTGGCACTGGCGTATTTCACTCTCTGGCCGGTCCGATCTTTGGGATCAGGCAGCTAGCCGCCATTCTTGGTGCGTATTTTCCAGTTTTCTCGCGGTTTTCTCGATTGAGTCTCGCGCTAGCTGGCTTTGATCGGTACGCGAGACGAATCGATCTTGCAGATGGATGGCGTCGGCCACCGCGGTTGTTCTTGGGGGAAGAAACCCTAGCTTGGCGACGACGGAAGAATATAAAGGTCCATTCCTTGATGCTAACTTAGTAACTATTTTATTCTCCAGGATCACTTTGGTTTTTACCGATGGTTTTCTATCGAGCTATAAAGGTATGGGTTAAAAGCCAGAGGTCATATTGTAAGCAAGAAAATGGCAGGAGGTCGGCTCGGGGAGCCATGGAAGCGCCGGCGAATTGCGGCACCAGTGGCATCGGAAATGGGAGAGATCCATGCTACCGAGCTTGAACTTCTCGGCGAGGCGGCAGCGGTCGGTAACGAAGCAGTGACGACGAGCTTCAGCGATTCCGGGCCAGTAGTGACAGATGATCCCGCAAGAACTTCTCTTCCCAGGTCTTCATCATCCATCCAGCTTCCAGCGGTCGCAGCAGAAGACCAAGTCTTTGTCCCTAGCGATCCAGGCTCCGGATTTGATCACCTCGGCGACATTCAGCGGTCGCATGCGAGGATCGGGGGCGAGGCAGCGACGGATGATCCTTTTCCAAGCTTTGGTTCGCTGACAAGCTTCGCGGATTTGTCATCTTTCCAGCGCAGCTCGACCTTAGCGATCGCAGCAAAAGTGGAAGCCTTTGAGCAGCCGGGAAGCACAGCTCAGGATTTCTCTCCCGTGGGAGTGGTGGCGGCCACCTTGGTCCCAGCGGTCGCAGCGAAAGACCAAGCCTTCGGTGCTAGCAGTCCAGGCTCCGGCCTCCGCGGCATTCAGTCCCATGCGGCGATCAGTGGCGAAGCAGCGACAGGAGATTATGGGCCTGTAGCGACTGATGATCCGACCAGCTTGAGCGCTAGCGATTCCAACGTCCAGGTGTGGGAGGCAACGCAGGATTTCTCTCTAGGCGAAATAGCGGACGCCATCGTACGCAACTATTTCGATGGCAAGCTTCCACGGGACTCCGCCAGACCAGCCGAGGCCATCATGCGCAACTATTTCGATGGTACGCCTTCATGGGACTCCGACCGAGCCCAGGTTTCTCCTGTGAGAATGACGTCGGCCAGCTTGGGCGATTTATATGGCAGGCTGGAGTTCTACCAGACGGTACGTGTAGCTCAGGCGGTAGAAATGGTCGCACACTCCTTTGGCGATTTCCATAAGTACAGGAGTTGGCATCCATGGGCTTTCGAGGAGGCGCACCAGTTCTCTCGACACGACGATCCAACGATAGTAGAAGTGGAGAACCAATTTTCGTGGGCTGAAGGGGAGCTCCCCTAGAAGCGGAGGACCATGCAGCAAGAGAAGAAGAAAAAGATCACGAAACGGGACAAGAAGACGATGTAGACGAAGATGAATTCGCACAGATAGAAGAGGATCCAAGAGTGGATGATGCTCAATGCGACAGGCTTGAGAGTAAGGACGACGAGGCAGTGGAGATACAGGTTCCGGCGCACCAGTTCCCTCGAGACGATGATCCAGCGGAAATCCAAATTTCATGGGACGAAGCTGTGCAGGAGCTCCTCCGGGACGGCACAGAATCGGAAAGTATGGAAGAAGTAAGAGAAGAAGACGAGCACGCAGAGATAGAAGCGGAGGACCATGCAGCGAGAGAAGAAGAAGAAGAAGATAACAAAGCAGGAGAAGCAGACGATGTAGACGAAGATGAATTTGCACAGATAGAAGAGGATGCAGGAGTGGACGATGCTCAATGTGACGGGCTTGAGAGTGAGGACGACGAGGCAGCGGAGATACAGGTTCCGGCACACAAGTTCCCTCAAGACGACGATCTAGCGGAAATCCAAATTTCGTGGGACGAAGCGATGCAGGAGCTCGTCCGAGACAGCACAGCAAGCTTGGAAGGTATGGAAGAAGCACGACAAGAAGACGAGCACGCAGTGATAGAAGCGGAGGACCATGCAGCGAGAGAAGAAGAAGAAGAAGATAACAAAGCAGGAGAAGCAGACGATGTAGACGAAGATGAATTTGCACAGATAGAAAAGGATGCAGGAGTGGACGATGCTCAATGTGACGGGCTCGAGAGTGAGGACGACGAGGCAGCGGAGATACAGGTTTTGGCACACCAGTTCCCTCAAGACGACGATCTAGCGGAAATCCAAATTTCGTGGGACGAAGCGATGCAGGAGCTCGTCCGAGACAGCACAGCAAGCTTGGAAGGTATGGAAGAAGCACGACAAGAAGACGAGCACGCAGTGATAGAAGCGGAGGACCATGCAGCGAGAGAAGAAGAAGAAGAAGATAACAAAGCAGGAGAAGCAGACGATGTAGACGAAGATGAATTTGCACAGATAGAAAAGGATGCAGGAGTGGACGATGCTCAATGTGACGGGCTCGAGAGTGAGGACGACGAGGCAGCGGAGATACAGGTTTTGGCACACCAGTTCCCTCAAGACGACGATCTAGCGGAAATCCAAATTTCGTGGGACGAAGTGATGCAGGAGCTCGTCCAAGACAGCACAGCAAGCTTGGAAGGTATGGAAGAAGTACGACAAGAAGACGAGCATGCAGTGATAGAAGCGGATGACCATGCAGTGAGAGAAGAAGAAGAAGAAGAAGACGAGGATGTGGTGGTAGACGAGGACTTTGCACAGATAGAAGAGTATGATCCAGGAGTGGACGATGATCAATGTGACTGGCTCAAGAGTGAAGACGACGAGGCAGAAGTTGACAATTGGATAGTCGAGCCTAAAGAGGACAAGGATCCGACAGGAGGTGCGGCAGTGCCAGATCTCGACGAGCAGGCAAAAGACGACTATCTCGTGGCTGTGCCATATCAAACACTGGAGCCTGAAGATCAACTCGTGGCAGTGGCACCACGAGATCCAAGCATGGATGAGGAATCAAACGACGATGATCTAGTCGTGGCAGCGAACGCGGCGACAGTGCCAGATCCAGAAGCTCCGGCGGCTGTGGAACCAGGTTTGTCACACTTGTGCATTTGTTTTTCATGATCCCTTAATTTCTTTGCAGACTTCTACGAACAGTTCTCTCCGGATTTCTGGGCTTTGCCTCGCAGCTACGACCAATTTCTCGACAATTTGTTTTTACAAACGACCCTTTTGTTCGATCTCATGTATTAATTCGCGCCAATAATATATTTGTGCCCTATCCCCGTGTAAAGGAAGAACCTTAATGGAGATAGCTGTAGGATGGAATCCAGCGGTGGGCTATCGTGTGACGCAATGGTTCCGCGGCGCCCGGGGGCAGCAGATTCTCAGAGTTGCGAGGGCGCTGTTTCATCAGTTTGGGCTGGAGCTGGATGAGCCGGCGGGTGCGTGGTTTTTTGAAATCCTTCCAGACGGGAGTGTTTCATCCACTGTTTCGGAGGTGAAATGGAAGATCTGGAGTGCGATCGCTGTGTGTTTGTTGGATTGCCCCGTGCCAGACGCTGCCGTGCACCTGTTGATTGCCTCCGACTATTTCACGCGCAGGGAAGGACGACAAAGGGAGATTGCTCATCACAGGTATGATCGTTTGTGTGCACTGCGTCTTCATTGCTGCAAGCCCCAGTGCCACTACATCGTCGCCAAGCTCGACAAGGTGAGATTTTTCTCTAGAAACCATTTCATCTTTGTGAAGAATTCTCTATGGTCTTGCAGAAAATGGCCGAGGGATGGGTGGACAAGAGTGACGAAGAACTGATAGCAAGTATGTGTTCCTTTGTTCTTTCCCCTCCTTTTTCCTGGTTACTGATGGCATATATGATCCAGATCTAAAGAAGGTGGTGGAAGGAATTCCCTCTCCCCAGCACGCACAATCGCGTCTCTCGGATGCTATGCGACTGTTCGATGTGACTGCGTCACTGGCCGACCTCGTCCTTGCATGGTTTTTGATCAGGCTTGGGAACGACGAGGAGAAATCTCTGGATTGGCTCGTCTATTCCGAAAAGAAGGCTATGGTGGATCGTCACGCTGGCGGCAGGGGCCAATTCGAGAATCTCCTCTTCTTCTTCTTCCAGAATGTCAAGATTTTTGATCCACCATCCCCGGAAAGAATTGAAAAACTCTGTGCCTGGTTCTACGTTCTACCGAAGGTCGAGTTCAGAGGCATCGATATCACGAGTGCTGTCCGCCAGATACTTGTGGTACGTTATTGGTTTTCTATTTCCCGATGTTTGACTCCACGTCTTTCTCATCTTTTCAGCATTTCATAGGTGCGCGAGTTTTACGTTTATCATTTGGTGACCATGAATGCCTCAAGCATTTCATTGAAGACCACTCCCAAATCTTCCACAACTTTCGACTGTATCTGCGATCAAACATCTACAATTGTCACAAGGTGAGCGCGCTGATTGGTCGCCTGCTGTTCACTTGGACGAGAACGAGCAAAGGGCAGCGTGATCATGACGAGCTCAAGGAGCTGTGCAAATTCACCGGCAACAGTTTCGTGGAGCACGTCAAGTCCACACTCGGCTCAAACAACTCTTGTGAAGACGAGCGCCAGCTTTTGTTTCATGCCGCGGCCAGAGTGTTCGGGGAAGATTTCAGTGGCCAGTTTGTGACCCTGTGCGCGAACTCGCAGTGGGAGGACAATGCCAAGCTCTTGCAGACAAGCGAGCTTGGAGAAATCATGGAGTTGGCGAAGCAGGGACAGTTCCAAGTTGCTAATCCTCTCCCCAAGAAGGTTGTGACCAGCAGTTGGCTCGGTGAAATAATCCTCTACTTGGCCAATGTAAGTGTTGTTTTCTCGTTCTTGCTTTGCCTTAGTGTTCTTCTTGCTTTGCCTTAGTGTTCTAAGCACGAACATTTTCTTTCAGCTGGTTCTCGAGGATAGCATGCCATACACCTTTGATCGTACAACATGGATACAGGATTGTGAGTATATCAATTTCAACTTAGACGCTTCTTGTAATGTGATTTTTGATTTGCAGGCAAAGGATTACTTATCGATCCCGTTATAAACCGCCAACACATGACGCTGTTATTAACCTCTAGTCGCCGTAAGGAAGGGGTTTACTTGGCTGAGACTGTGACAAAGAAGATCTGCCAAGAGCTTGGAGCGTGGATTCACTCCCCAAAGACAGTGAAAAAGCTAGAAGCTAGCTTGGAAGACATAGATAATGCCCTGAGGGATGTTATGTTGCGCGCTGCTGGGGGTGAATTTAGTGACAAGCACGAAACTTTGCTAGCTAAGATGGCCAAGTTACTTGGATTTGGAAACATGGACAGTATGTATGGACTCGCCAGAGCTTACGTTCTACACGGCATGCCTGGAAAAGGTGGCGGTGAGGGCCATCCCAACTCTACAAAATCTAGTAGCATGGTACGATGGAATTCTCAATTATACTTCAATCCCCTCAAGCGCCGGGAGATGACAGAAAAACGATGTTTAGAGTTTCAACAAAGAAAGCGGTGTTGCATTGCCACGAAATAATCTAATAAGATATTTTTCAAACTTTGACAACAAAATCATAGACCCTTGGAAAGAACAGAATGGCCGGGCGAGGTTAAGGTCCTTTCGATGACGAGGCATCCCTCCAAGCGCAACGCTCCGTCTCCGCAGCTTCCAGCAGCCTCGACCATCGACGGGCTCCAGCAGTGGTGATTCGAGGTCATGGGCGGCAGTAAGCGCCTCTGATCCTGCTGCAATCTCCACGCTTGCATCGATGCGGATTGCGAGAGACGTCGTGGCCCTCAGATGATGAAGCCACCACGAACAATGACGATCCCCATTGATGAATCTTCACCATCGTCGTCTCGGCTTCGCACCTCAGCTAGCTTGCCAGTGATCCCAGAGGCAGCAGTTCGGGACGAGGAGAACGTTCCAAAAGAGGAGGAGAGGACATGATTCCCTACATGGATGGTTTTCGATCGAGCAGCTGGAAGTTGCAGCTCACTTATAATTCTTTCTCCAGATCGAGTAGTGACGAGGTGCATTTCCCATGGGGTTTTGGGGAGCTGGAGCTCGCAATGCAGGACCTTCCTCCTCTATGTAGAGGAGCCAATGATATTGAGAACCCTTGCTGGCTCCTCGATGAGCCAGCAGGGGCAGCACCACTGGCAGCACTGCTAGACAGGACTTTGCAAAGAATACCAGATCTATGAGGCCTAAACCTCGCACCTTGCCAGCAGGAATTAGGAGCCATGTAAGAAAAAGAAGTTTTTTATTTTTGAATATGCCATAAAGATGGTGTGCAATTTGTAAATTACATGCATGTTGTCAAATCTAATTCATCCCATGTGTCAAAATCCAATTCGTTGCAACACAACATCTCATTGTGTGCCCAAAACATGCAATTTCCACATAGCAGAACCTCTATTGCTTGATATAGAGAAGCACATTCTTTTAGAATGGGATGTTGATCTTGATGAGGAATATGGCATTAGTGTTGTGATGAGGAAGAAAAGATTTTTAATGATGTTATTGCAAAGCAAAAACACAAGATTATTGATGTTTATAATGATATTAAAGAGGTAAAAGATTCTATTAATCTCATGTACTTCACATTGACCTTAAATTTTTAAATTAATTTCAGTACCATTGATACATCAAACATACCAAGAATTATAATATTATGAAATGAAAGTTGCCACCATATATTTATCACAATCAGAAAGTTAATTGTTAGTTAGAGTTTGTTAGCCTCGAAACACCCTTCTGAGGACAAGGTGAAAATTGATTTCCTATAACAAAATTTGTGAGGTATATTTCTTTATAATGGAATAACTATATCAAAATTAATTTGAAGTCAACTTCTTAGACAAAGGTTTTCCACACTTTTTTTGTTAAAAATTTGTAAAAACTTTATAAATCAGCTACTAAATATTAATGAAAGGACTTTATTTTAGTCTTACAAACATATACAATGAGTTATTTGTAAAATTTTGTTTTGGGAACTCAATGTTATTTAAACCTAAAGATATTTAACCGTAAGTGCAATTCAAACCCAACGATATTTAACTCTAAATATTCCAAAAACCCTTAACCAATTGAAAAAGGGGGTGCATTTTTTTTCATGGGCCTTTTTCTTTTATATTTAAACTTTTATGGATTAATAATAATGTTTCATCCAAAGTTTAAGATCATTAAATATATAATAAAAAGTTAAGAAGGATTTTCCACTAATATTGATTAATGCTATTCTAAGGCTTAGATCTTTTTGTTAAAACCACCAATCAACTTGATCAACTCTTATTTAATAGAGAAGCTTGTAATAACTAATAAGCCAATACTTTATATTCAGAAAAGAAATTGCCACAATGCTAAACATCATAATAAGATGTACTCTTTAGATTTGATTTTCCAAGAGGTCACCCATCTTAATACTAAATAACCCTAATAAAACACTTTTCAAATTATTTTTTTTAGTTGTTTACAATCAATTATGCTTCTCTGCAAACTCACACATTTGTGAATGGAAATTGGAAGTTAAAGTTTTTTTTACTCTCTTAATACCCTACCCTTTGGGGGTAAACTAGATTGATAAATGTTAACTTATTATCTTGACTTGAGTGTAGCCCAATAGGGGAAAAATTAGACCATCATATGTCAATATAACCCTTCAAGTTTAGCTTAGCAAGAGTAAACTAAACTACTAACCCAGGTTCAACTGCATCCCACATGTCTATAATAAAACATTATGAAGTAAAAAGTGAAAACCACATGCACTATAAATGGGAGGTGAAAGTTTTAACATTAATTCATGACTTAATAATTTGATAATATGTGTTTAAATTTGAAGCACAAGATGAATCAATCAAGTCATCACTCACCTGTCCCGAATGGTGCTGTGCATTAGCCTTGATCTAGCAACTTGGTGACAATCCACTATGCAATGAAGCTGCTGACCCAAACCACACAAGCTCTCTTCCCTCCCTCCATAGTCCTCAGAAAGTACTCTTAAGATTTTCACTTCCCACTCAAAAACCATTCAAACAGTTCGTACAGTGCTCTCACTTCTTGTATTCTTCTTCGCCTTTCAGCTGCTGTTACAAATCTTGTAAATGGCTCTCAAAAGAGTAAAAAATGATTACAGAGAACTACTGTGGCTTGATTGCTGTTTAGTTGATCAGAATTGTTGCCCGGATCAGCATGCAGCAGCTCGGAACCCATACTTGATTTCCAAATTACCATCTTTGAAACAAGAAAAAGAAAGACAATAAACCTCGAATGTTGCAGGACCAAGTCCGCATGGAGCAGGGAGCATCTTGGCCAAGCGTGCTTCTTAGAGAATAGAGAAAACTACACGCCCTGATTATGGCATCGCTTCACCATCTTGGAGCTGAAGCAATCAGTGGAGGAGCTTGAGCGCGATGCAAATCTTTACGCACTTATGGTTGGAAGCGGGCAAAAGAATCCATCGCCATTCGATGGTGTGTGGAATGAGGAAGAACAGGCAACTCGTGGAAAATCTTCCTATCAACATGGGAGGATTCCAACGTTTTCCAATGTTCTCTCATTGATAATGCTCGCAGCGTATGCCAGAATGGGTAGCTCAACGATGCTCTTGAGTGCTTTTGCAAGATGGAGCTCGAGGTGGTGAGTGACAATCATCAGCGCACTTGATTTATGAGACAGCTTCTCTCAAGCGCAGTGGCCACATTCTCGGATCAAAGGGGGCATAGGCTTACGAGCACTTACATCGAGCTATGGTGTGTTTTTGGACATGCAAGCTGAAGTGTATTTCTCCAGGCTGTGAATGGAGACGACGGAAGATAGATAACAGCTCCCATCTCCGATTCACGGCACCTGGCCTTTGCGAGATCCACCACCATTGTGGTCCACGCTCTGTTTTGATGATCACGGTTGCTTCCATTCCAATAGGATCTGACAAGCAAGTTGAGGAGGCTGACATCTTTTTCCAATCTAGTTTCGACGATTTGGAATTCGTGAAATGCCAGATTCATGTATGACGTCTCCAGGTTGCCGCTGGTGCTGCTGCTCGGTCATCGTCTGGTTTTGTTAGATCTTTATAAAGGATGAATTCCCATCTTCTCTTTTTCTTTTCCCTGGTGGTGACACTGCGAATGGTGGTGCCACCAAAGGTGCTGCCCCTGCTGGCTCAGCTTTGGCTCGTAGAGGAGAAAGATCTTGCATTACGAGCTCCAGCTCCCAACATGCCACAGAAAATGTACCTTCTCCTCCACATTCACTACTCGATCGGGAGAAAAGGGCCCGCGAGCTATAACAACTTCCAGCTGCTCGGAATCCCAGGAAATACCGTCATCCACGTATAGCGTGATCTCCTCCTTGTCTGGAACGTACTCCTCGTCCGCCACTGGGATCACTAGCAAGCTAGCCGAGTGGCGAAGCCAAGAGGACGGTGAAGATTCATCACTGATTGCTAGCGTTTCTGTAGTGGTGATTTGATCATCTGGGGGCGGCGACGTCGCCTCTTGCAGCCCGGAGCTTTGATCATCGCTCGGACTCGCGGGGCTCCCTATCCGCATCAATGCAAACCTGGATGTATGATGTATCGCTCACTGTCGGCTTCCTGCTGGAGCTCGTCCGTGCTCGAGGCTGCTGGAAGCTGCCGCGGAGACGGCGCGTGGAACTTGGAGTGCTGCATCGTCGATGGGATCCTCCCCCGGCCATTCTATTCTTTCTGGTTTCCTCTTCTCTTTGTGGGATGCCGCCTTATACGATTTCATTTAAGAAACGACAGGGTCCAAAAAACCATGGTCAGTGATAAACTTATTAGATCGCAATGCAACGCCACTTTCTCTGTTGAAACACCGTTTCTCTGCCGCCAAAGAATTCAATCGTGAGGCTTTACCATATGCATACTAGAGTTGGAATAGCCATCCTTTCCAGGCATGCCATGCAGAACGTAAGCTCTGGCGAGTGTCCATGTTTAGTGGCTTGGCCATCTTAACCTTCAGAGTTTCATGCTTGTCACCAGTGGTGTGCGACATGACATTCATCAGGGCATTGTATATGTCTTCCACGCTACATTCTTACTGTCTTAATGACGGTAAGAATGTAGGGAAGACATAGACAATGACCTGAGGAATGTCATGTTGTGCGAATTCGAATCCACGCCCCAAACTCTTGGCAGCTCTTCTTCGTCACTGTAACCCCTTATAAATCAAAGCCACACAAACAACACACTAGAAGAACCGTGTAATCCATATGTTTTTCGATGAAAGGATCACAACCTGACGTTGGGCGTGTGTGATTTGAGCTATTTTAGAAATCAAGAGGCAGCACCTCGTAAAAATCTACTTTCACTGAGAGTTGAACTCATGTTTACTAAAGGAGTGCTCTGACCAAATGAGCTATGAAAGCTTAACATTTATAACCAGGGCTTAATAAATAACTAGGAATCTTGTGTGATTTGGTCATAATGACTTCATGGCAAGGCGCTGGGCTACGGAACCAGAGATTCTGGGTTCAATCCCCTCTGACGTTGTTTTCCGGTCCTAACAAAAATCGGAAAAAGAAAAAAAAAAGAAAAAGAAAAATGGCAGCGTACAACAAAACGTGTAAAAAAAGTATACCATGAAAGAACAAAAATGGTGCCATGCACTTGGAGCAGAGAGTTGAAGAACCATCTCCACTTGATCGAGTCCACGTTCTCTTATATACAAGCTCCAGGAGTATCAATTCAGGTGACTCAACCGTTAACGAGAGAAGTTGTCGGGAACTCTACGTGGTCAAAAGTTCCAGTATTGCTTGGAACCAAGCTTCACTGCGTGTTGGACTGCCCTCTTTGCCTGCTCGACATTCTCTTGCAACGTCGAGGATCCAAGAAGGATCAACCAGTCCAAACTTCTGGCATCTTCGGCCATGCCAGTGACAAGCTCCTCGGCATCAGCCAAGCGACCAGTCCGCCCAAGAAGATCTACAAAACACCCGTAATGCTCCGGTGTGGGAACCAGCCCATGATCCGCCACCATGTACTGGAAGTACTTGGAGCCTTCCTCAAGCATCCCAGCATGGCTGCAAGCAAAAAAGATGCTGAGAAAAGATACCTGGTTGGGAACTATACCCTCCAAGTCCATATCCCGGAACAATCCAATCGCTAGCTTGACATGCCCATTCTGGGCATATGCGACGATCAACGTGTTCCAAGACACGGAGTTCCTCACGGGCATGGCTGCAAAGACACGGTTTGCTTCGCGCAAGCTCCCACACTTTCCATACATGTTGAGCAGCGCATTGCCCAAGATGATATCGAAGCCGAATCCCAGCTCCATCGCTCGGGCGTGGAAGATCTTTCCCTCGACCAGAGCGTTGCAATCCGCGCAAGTGTCGAGAAGTGTGATGAACGTAACGTTGTCCGGCTTGACACCTTCGTTATCCATGCCCCGGAGAATCCCGAGCGCTCGTCTCTGGTCGCCGGTTTGAGTGATCGCCGCTGCCACCGCGTTCCATGCAATCGCATCCCTTTGCTGGAGCTTGCCAAACGCGAGCTCGGCTTCCATGGCGTTACCACACCGCCCATACATGTTTACGAGCGTTCCAAGCACCGCGTCCACGCTCTCGAATCCGCCCTCGCTTGCTTGGCGATGGATCTCTCGGCCCTCGGCGATTGATCCCAGCGTCGCGCACGCATCTAAGACGCTGATGAAAGTGATCCTGTCGGGGCGAACTCCCTCCCGGATCATCGCCCAGTAAGTCTCTAGCGCTCGTCTTCCATCGCCATTTTGCGCAAAGGCCGAGATCAAAGCGTTCCACGATACCAAGTCCCGGATTCCCAGAATTCGGTTAAAAACGGACATAGCTTCCTCGAGTCTCTTACACTTTCCATACATCTTGATGAGGCTGTTCGCGACGACCACGTTCGAATCCATGCCAACCTCGGCTGCTCGCCTGTGGAAAACGATCCCGGAAGCGAGATCCATGGAGTTTGCGCAAGCATCGATCGTGCTCACGAATGTGACATCGTTTGGCTTCACTCCAGAGTGGTCCATCGTCCGGAAGAGCTCCATGGCTTCCTTGTCGCGATCGTTGTCCACGAGAGCACCGATGAGCGCCGTCCATGTCACAACGTTTCTCTCGGGCATGGACTGAAAGACCGCCTTCGCTCGATCCACACACTTGCATTTTCCATACATGGTCACCAGCGCCGAGCACGCGACCACGTCGCCGCCATAGCCACTGGCGACGATCCTCTCGTGGAGAGCTCTTCCTTGTTTGATGGCATCGCCACCGTCGTTGGAGCAAGCTTCCAGCGCGAGCATGAGAGAGACTCTACTCGACTTGCATCCCTCGAGATCCATCTCGCGGAAGATTTGCAGCGCTTCCTTGCCGGATCCACTCTGAGCGTAGGCCGCGAGGAGCGAGTTCCAGCAAATCGCGTCCTTGCGGCACATCCCGGCGAAAACTTTCCTTGCATCCTCGAGGCTATGGCAGCGAGCATACATGTTGAGCAGCGCCGTCTGGAGCACCACGTCCTCGCTAGCGATCTTCTTCTCCATCGCGAGAGCATGGATCGTCCTGCCCTGCTCCAGCGAGTTGCATGCATCCACAACGCTCAAGAACGTCAGTCGATCCGGCTCGGGGCCGCTGGGATCGTCCAGCATTCTCTGGAAGAGATCGAGAGCTTCTTGGTCTCCATCCTGTGATCGAGAATAAGCCGAGATCATCGTGTTCCAGCTCACCACGTCTTTCCGCTTCATGGAATCAAAGAGCGCTCTGGCGGTGTCCAATGATCCTCGCTTGGAGTAGCAATCCACGAGGCAATTGGCGATGGAGAGATGGTCGCCATAGCCGGCTTCCACGACGAGCGAGTGCATAAGATCCTCGCGAGCAGTCGAGCTACGATCATCCATGATCGAGCTAGACGCGGCGACAATGCTGAGAAAGGTGATGTGGTTGGGCTTGATACCTTCGAGAAGCATCGAGCGAAAGAGCTCCAGCGCCTGGGATCCACGATGGTTGTGAGCGCACGCGGATACCAGTGCATTCCAGGTGATGGCATCCTTGAATTCGATCCCCTGGAAGACGAGCGTGGCATGATCTAGCATCCCCAGCTTGCCGTAAGCGTTGAGCAGCGCTGTGGCGATGGAAGTGGAGCGATCCAGGCCAGCAGCGACGACTAGTGCATGGACCTTGGCCGGATCGGCATTGATAGCTCCCATAAACGTGACGCAATTGGGATGCTCGCCGTCGAGCAGCATTTGCCGGAAGAGCGTCAGGGCTTCTCGCATTTGCCCGTTGTGGGCAAATGCCGCAATCGCAATGTTCCACGAGAAAACATTGCGATCTTCCATCTTGTGGAAGACTTCCAACGAGTCCGCCGCGCGGCCGCACTTTCCATACATTTCCATGACGAGATTCGCGAGGAACCTGTGACGCTCGAGGCCGCTGGAGACGATCTGTGCGTGGATGCGCTTACCCTCGCCCAGGGATCCGCGCTCGCGGCATTCTCGCAGAGCAGCCGCGAAGGCGTCCACCGCTGGCGATCGCTCGTCATCCCTGCAAATCTTCGTTGGATCGAGCGGCGGCTCCTCCTCCTTGTCAAGAACGATGCCATGCGATTGCGACGAAAACCATCGCCATCGCCACGGACGCCTTTGCCCTTTGTTAACCACATGGTTCATAAGATTAGGTCAAAGTAGCAAAATGGGGAGAACGAGAAGGAAGAGGGCTCGCGATGGCGATGGCGATGGCGATGGCGAGGACGATGCCACCACTGGCGGCCTCGATGACGATACCCTGCTCCACATCTTCGATCGCATTTCAACGAGGGAGCTCCTCACGCGGGCCGCGCTTGTCTGCCGCCGCTGGAATCGCTTGTGCCAATCTCATGTAAGTAAAGTTCTGTGGTTAGTGAAGAAGATAAGAGTTGATCTGATGGAGCATGGTATTTCTTCTCGATAGGTGCGTGAGATTGTGCCTCGTTTCGGTGACTTCTCTCGGTGGCTGCATTCTTCGGTCTGGCTCAAACCAAAAGACGTCATCAAACTAGCGCGCAAGCACGCATCGACCATCACAAGCATTACTTTTCCTCGGTATGTATGGCTCTTCTCGCGCTAAATCCTTGCTTATAATCTTGTCCAGATCGCAGAAGGACGCAGAGAAGATTGTCTCTACTGTCTCTGCCCTTCCTCATCTTCGCCACCTCTCTGCCGCTTTTTCTGATGATAATTTCCCTCCATATCTTGCTGAGGCCCTTTCACCTCACCTCCAGAGCCTGGATGTTTTCAGCCGAGACCATGATGTGTCTAGTTTTTTCCTTGCATTGCCTTCTCGATGTCCTCATCTCCACACACTGAAGCTTCTGGGTGCGAGTGTGACTTGGCCTAACGGTGACCTTGGCGTCACGCTTAAAAGCTTCACTTTGTCCCTCACCACGCTCCATATCTCTAGCAGTGACTTTGGTTGGGATCATGTCAATAACATATTCAAATGCTGCTCAAACCTGTCAGATCTTGGTGTTGTATCATCCGATCTGTTGATACTCGATCATGCTTCCATCAGCCCAATGCCACCTTCTCTCACGTCTCTCAGGCTTTGTGTCTCCCCTGGACTCTCTGTTGCTTATGATCGCTCTGCGCCCTGGAAGTTGATTAAAGACAGTGGCCGCCAGCTCCAAGCCCTTTACGCGGAATCTACGTTTAGTGGAACGTGGCAAGCAATCTGTAAAGCATGCACCAATCTCAAGGTCCTCGATTTATCTACTTGTGATGAGGTTGTGATTACACAGGTATACTTCCATTTTTACTTTGTTTTATGTTGATCGAAACACATCCATTGTGCCTTTGCAGTTAGAAGAGAAGGCTCTCTGTAAAATTCCATTTGCTCTTCGGAACCTTGAGAAAGTTTGCCTTCCAACTGCCAGTGACAATATCCTTGTACAGTTTGGACGTTTTTGCTCTCATCTGATTGAGTTTGAGCTCAATCAACGCTCTCGCAAGACAGGTGCATATAATGTGCAAGACAAAGGAATCATGGCTCTGGTAGAAGGATGCAACAAGCTCCAAGTTATGAGTCTTGTTAATTGCACCAACATCACCCATAGATCCATGAGGTATGAAATGCTTCTTTCACTTTTTCGTTTACACTTCTCCATGATCAAAGATTTCTATAAGGTTTATTGCGTTCCATTGTCCTTGCTTGAGGGCTCTGAATCTTTTCGGATGCAAGCTTATCGACGATGAGGCTGTTGCAATACTCGTCCCACGATTGAGCAACTCTCTTTACTGCTTGAATCTCGATTGCTGCCCTCGAATCTCTGCTGCAACGCTGGAGTTTTTCCGAGTGAGTAAACTTTAATTGTTTTCAAGCAAGTTTTTTTTAATAAAAATCTCTTTTCTTGTTATCGCTAGGAACGAGCATCAAAGGTTGAGCTCTTGGTGATCCATAAAACACTGCACAACAAACTGGGTGCCTTGATTAAATGTATCAAGGCAGATCATCCATTGCTCAATATCAAGGCAGGGGCAGGTAGCTCTAATTGTGCTTTGTGGTGATGTTCTCTGGTAAGTTTAAAAAGTATGTAAACAGGAATGGATCAGTTATGATCCTGTCACAAGCATGTACCTGCATTTTATTTTTATTTTTTTCTGTTTTTCCGCCACTAGACTTCCAACATTACAAGCTCTGATCCACTGAATTGCCACCCAAGCTCCTCAGTTGATCTCTGTTTAACACACAGCATGATCATGTTTTCTCTTCTTCCACTTCGAACCTCTGTCATCTTTGTCAGTCTCAGAGTCTGATTCCTGCATTCCAGTCATTCTTCTAAGTTTCTAGCAATGAAAAGAAATGCTGTGTTCCACGTTGAAACAGTGTAATCACCTCACTTATTCTCTCCAAACCAACGATTAACGAAAGCATTACTCTTGTGCTGCAGCTTTTACTCCAGCAATATTCTGCTGTAAAACAATTTCCCAAAGCTAATTGCATCTCCTCCAAATCAAATGCATGGACAAGTGCATCTTCTCCAAATCGAATACAGAGACATGCCAATCCACTTGCCCTTCTGTTCCTTCTTGAGAATGTCAAGTCAAAGAGACTTTTTTGGCCATCTAAAAGTTTGGGGTTTTAACATGTTAATTGGAGTTTAATTTTGTGAGTGCTTGCAATATGGAAAGGGAATATAAAAAATGTGCATATCAATTAGCCCAAAAACCTTAATTTATATATTGGAGCGAGAGGTCTGGATTAAAACCAATCCGACGGTTACCAAAATCCTACTACGCTAATATTAGTACACGGCATTGTAAGTATACACTTAGACCTCACATCATCCCTCCTCTCGGAATAATGAAAGACCATCAAGATTTTCTTGTAGATGGGCCGGGATTTGGAAGAACATTAGGAGGAGGCATCAGCAGATTTATATATGTATTGTTGTACCTCAATTGTTCCTGATCCTTTTGTATGAAGGGTTTCAATTGTTGTACATGCACAATTTTTAGAGGATCAGCCTACTAAACGTTATGCAGAACCTCATAAACTTGCGGTCCAACTTGCTGCAACACCTGATTGTGAGACACAAAATCCCTAGGCCCCAAAGTAGAGCCAGAAAGGGTGCCACGTGGTAGTGGCCGAGGCAAAAGCCAAACAAGCGTAACACGTTTGGACTAAAAGCTCCAACTTGGAAGGTCGAGGGCGGGAGTGGAACTCCCAACAAAGTGCTCGAGGAGCGAGCACGAGGCAACCAATAAGCAAGGCTCCAAAAAGGACTAACACATGACACGTGGAAGTGTCCGAGATGGACCCGAGATGGAGTCCAAGGTGGACCTGAGATAGAGTTCGAGATGGACCCGAGATGGAGTCCGAGATGGACCCGAGATGGAGTCCGAGATGGAGTCCGAGGTGGACCCGAGATGGAGTCCAAGATGGAGTCCGAGATGGACCCGAGATGGAGTCCGAGATGGAGTCCGAGATGGACCCGAGATGGAGTCCAAGATGGAGTCCAATATGGAGTCCGAGATGGACCTGAGATGGAGTCCGAGATGGACCGAGACGGAGTCCGAGATGGACCTGAGATGGAGTCCGAGATGGACCTAGACGGATTCCGAGATGGAGTCCAAGATGGAGTCCGAGAAGGACCCGAGATGGAGCTCGAGGTCGAGACCAAGACTGGCACCGAGACCGAGATTGGGACCGAGACCAAGACCAAGGCCAAGGCCGAGACCGAGCCCGAGCCCGAGTCCGAGTCCGAGTCCGAGTCCGAGTCCAAGTCTGAGTCCGAGTCCGAGTCCGAGTCTGAGTTCAAGTCTGAAAGGGTGAAAGCCCAAAGTGTTCGTCTCCCAGACCCTGGGGGGTTTGGTGAGCTCCAAAAGTATAGTAAGGGGGAGGACTGCAGTGGAGCCAGTTTGGCCAGGAAAGGCCAGTTTGGCCCAAAAAGGCTATATCTAGTGTTGGGTGATGAGCTGCCCATTGGGAAGTCCAAGACTAGAGTGAACATGGACCGACAAGCGGGGTAGCTTGGTGAAGTGTTCAAGAGCCAGCTCTAGTTCCCCCGGGAGATTGACTGGCAGATGCTCCCAGTCCAAGTGTGGGTGGCACTACCTACTTGGATACCAGGTGTGGCTCAACGGAACCTCGCTCTAAGCCCATGGCTAGAGCACCTAAAGACAGAAGGTGGGGAGAGTACCCAGGAGGTCCGCGTAGGGCTGCGGTGTTCCGAAATGCTATCCCAAAGTCCCAGACTATGGAAAGGAAAACTAATGATCCTTTGGTGTGGTGACTAATGACACGGTCATGTGGTGAGGAAGTCCCAGAGGACAGTGGGACTTAATGGTCGGGCCTATGGGCCTTGATCCAGTGGCAGTGTTGGTGAACACGGCCATGGACAGAAAAGGATCTTAGTGGGGACTGTTAAAGGGATATTGTGGAAGGTTGTTCCCCATGTCTGTGGGCATCCTAAGGATACTAAGGAGGGGATCTAGAATGATCACTCATGGACGGATGGCCTAGTCCTTGAGAGACGGGACTGTGATGCAGGTGGTGTTAGACCACCGGTGTGACCAAGGTAAAGGGGCATGGCCTTAGTGTAACAGGCGGATATGTCAATGGTACCTTGGGGTGTCGGTCATGGGATCAAACACATGGAGCACTTGGACCATGTGCAAAAGTTGAGTGGCGGGGATGCCATTCTCGGGGCTAGCAAGCCCAAGTCCGAAATAGGACTTATGGAGGTTGTGAATGAGACTCCTCCACGTGGTTGGAGGTGTGGTTAAGTGACTAAAGTAGAATGGAAAAATTAGTCGCTTACACCGATATGGTCCTTTCTATTGAGCAAAGAGCCCCTTAGATAAACCATATACCGTAAGATGGGGAAAATAGACTAACACCAAATTATCTACTTTGTACTTTGCAAATAGATAATGATAGGAGTTGTAGCGCTATTGTTGTCCCACTTGTATGTGGCTTAAGTGTTCAACAAACTCTGCTTGGACAAGTGGAAGAATGCTTGTTAAATACTGATCCCACAACCTAACATTGGTAGCTCATGGCAATTACAAAGGTAAATTTAGCTCCATTGGTAATATTGGATCAAGACTATATAAAAGTTTATATGGTGAAACACCAATAGAACTCTGCACCCTTGTGACATATGCATACCGAAGAGATGGCAAATAACCATCCCAATCCAAATGCTGAAAATTCACATACTTCGCAATCATTCTTTTGAATGTCCAAACGAGTCGTTCCACCAAACTGTCTAACTATGGATGATAAACACTCGTGAAAGTGTGGCGTATCCCCAACCGAGATGTCAAAATATGAAATACCTCAGTCATAAATGCGGGACTATTAAAGAATCTATTCCAAACAAAAATGCTGAAACACCACTCGATTGAGGAGGAAGTATCCAACAATAGTTGCAAAGGTGTTAGCAAGAGTACCAACTTCCACCCAATAAGTCAAATAGTCAGAAGCAATAATAACATACTCATTACCAATAGTTGATTGTGGAAAAGGTCCTATAAGATCAAATGCCACCAACTCAAAGGGACGAGAAACTGCAATTGACTCCAATTGTCCTTCTACAGTATGAGGGGGAATATTACGAGCTTGGCACCAAACATGGCTATACACATACTAAATAATATTATGTCGCATCTCTGGCCAATAGAAAGACCTGTGCAGCTTCTCGGTTACACGACAATGTCCCATATGCCCACCTAGAACAGGAGAATCATAGTAAACATGGAGAAACCGCGGAATAAACACAGAAGGCACCACTAGCCGTAAATGATCATCAAGATCCATCCCCACAAAATAAAGAAGGCTGTTTTCAAGGTGATATTGAGAATGTAAATGCCGGAAAGGCAAGTCATCAATAAGTGATGCAGAATTCTCAAACCCATTTTGAAGCCTTCGAATCCACGGCTCAATCTTTTGAGCCTTACGAACCTCATCAAGAAAAGGTAGATCTTGCTCTGCAGCTTGTGGATATTGAACGTTAAGTATAGCAACCACTAATGGTACAGAATCCTCATCTAGAAAATCCATAGATGCTAGAACAACAAGCTTATCAGAAACATGAGAAGAGAGTGGAGAAGGAAGAGGAGCTCGAGAAAGGGCATCAGCATTAGCCATAAAACTCCCTGGATGATGAATAACATCAAAATTATATATTTGAAGCTTCAAAGCCCACTGAGCAATATGACCAACCAAATTCTTTCACTTAAATAATGAAGTAATGGCAACATGATCACCTTCAAATAACATCCAAGAACCATGTAAATATGCATAAAGTTTCTCAAAACCCCAAATTGTTAGTAAACACTCCTTCTCTATCGTGGAATAGTTTACCTCTATTGGTTGTAATGTATGGCTTATATATGCAATAAGATGGTCCTGACCAAGCACACTTTGGTTCTCTTGCATCAACACACCTCCAAGACTAATATCAGAAGCATCCACACACAAAATAAAAGGTCAAGTGTATTCAAGATGTGCCAAAACTGGAGCAGTTGTCAATAGCTCTTTGAGATCCATGAATGCTTGCTCACAATCCGGAGACCAGATGAAAGATGACATTGATGACTTTAGCAATGCTCGCAATGATGCAATGTGATAAAAAAGATGATACACAAAACAACCAAGATTTTGCACCTTGCCTAAGAAGCGCTACACATCATTCACACACTTCGGAGTAGGGAACTTTCGAACATCCACAAATTTGTCAGGATCAATTTGCAAACCCTCACGAGAAATACAGTATCCAAGATAAGTTGTGTCCTTAGACCCAAACACGCACTTCGACTGCTTCAGCTTTAAAACAACATCCCGTAGCCAATCCAACACTTTATAAACATCACAAACGTGCTCCTCCCATGTCCCCTCCAAGTGCATCAAGATATCATCAATGAAATCAACAGTCACTTTTGGCATATTGCAAAGAACTTCATTCATCATCCATTGGAAAGTTGCTAGAGCATTGTTCAAACCAAATGGCATCATCAAGAATTCGTACAAACCAAATCGTGTATGAATAGTTGGTACAATTGCTTGATGCTATACGCTTGCAATTGAACAACCAAACTCAGTTGATGGCAGCATTCACGGCACGTG